CGATCTTCCTGCCTCATCCTCCTGAGTAGCTGGGACTATAGGCTTGCACCACCACACTGGGCTAATTTTTGTAGAGAGGGGGTCTCACCATGTTGCCTAGGCTGGTCTTGAACTCCTAGCCTCAAGCAATCCTCCCTCCTTGGCTTCCCAAAGCACTAGGATTACAGGTATGAGCTGCTGCACCCGGCCTTAGACATATGGTTAAGAGGGGGAAAAAGCAACTTACAGAAACAAGTGGAAAGCATCATTCTTTTGATTTTAAAAATTGCCAAGAAATACGTGTCTGTGTGTTCCTGTGTATATGACACGTAACAAAAGCATATCACAAGCATGACCTGTCCAACCCGGACCACTGTGCTGGAAAACTGCTCCTTGCCCCTTCCCCTCTGCACTCCTTGCCCCTTCCCCTCTGCACTCCTAATCCATTCCTCTGTTCTGCATTTTCTTTTCTTTATTTTTTTTGAGATGGAGTTTCGCTCTTGTTGCCTAGGCTGGAGTGCAATGGCACAATCTTGGCTCATCGCAACCTCTGCCTCCTGGGTTCAAGCGATTCTCCTGCCTCAGCCTCCCGAGTAGCTGGGATTACAGGCATGCACCACCATGCCCAGCTAATTTTGTATTTCTAGTAGAGACAGAGTTTCTCCATGTTGGTCAGGCTGGTCTCAAACTCCAGACCTCAGGTGATCTGCCCGCCTTGGCCTCCCAAAGTGCTGGGATTACAGGCAAGAGCCACTGCACTCGGCTGCATTTTCTTTTTTCATAGCCCATTATATCTTCTAACGTTTTATTTATTTACCTATTTACTATGTGTATTATGTATATAAGTTCCTTCTACTGGAACATAGGATGGCTTGTGGCAAGGATCTTCAGTTTTGTGTTTGGCACACAGTAGGTGCTCAGTAAATATGTAGTCACTAAATGAATCAAATGATATTGAGGGAAGGAGAAGGAAGAAACATTTACTTTTTCCTTAATATTCCAAACAGGGGTGAAACGATGAGTAATTTTTCTTCTTTTAAAAATAATTTTCTTATTTTCCTATAATCAATATGCATTGTTCTTACAATGAGAAAAAAAAGTTTTCCAAAACATTCCCATTCTTTGGACTGGACCTTCCCACTTCTGGGCCTCTGGTCAAGCCAGTCCAACCTCTGGAATGCTCTCCTTAGGCCCTCGCCTACCCCTTCTAAGCTCCTACTGTCCTTCTAGACCTAATTCCAGTCCCACTTCCTCCGGGAAGCTGCCCAGAACAAAACTGACTTCTCTCGCCTGCGTCCTCTCATGGCCACGGGGCCAGTGTGGCGGTGTCTCCAGATCTGCCTCTCATAAGAGTCCTGTGTCCATCTGCCTTCCACCCACTGCCAGCCTGGAGGGCAGGGGGCATTTCTTATCTGCCTCTTTCCCCATGTCTCTGCCTCTCCTGGTCTTCCACAGGCCCATCTCTGTCTTTCTGTCTCCCCCTGTTCTCTCTCTTCCCAGTCCTTCCCTCCATCTGGCCTTCTCCACTGGCGCCCTCGCTCCTGCTCCGTTGCCAGCTCCCCCATCAGTCAGGAAGAGCAGTGCTGAGCTCCACTCATAAGAGATCCAGAGGGGCCTGGGAGCTGCAGGGATGGAACTGCCCGCCTCTCACTGTGTCCCTGGCGGCTGGGTTGGCCATCTGCTGAGGCGCCTCGTGACCCAAGGGGTCCGTCCCTAGAGCAGCCTGCCTTCCAGTGCCGCTGGGAATGGATCCTGTCAATAGAGAGAGGAGTCTGCCAGGAGGCCCCTTAGAGCATTTTGAGCCAGAGGTCAGACGAAGACGAAGAACAAATCCCAGGGCTTTGCAAAATAGCAAGGACTGGCACTAGGCGGAGGTCCCAATGAGATGCAGTGTGCATAATACTGAGTGTGGAGAGCAGGTGCCCAGAAGGGACTATTGAGCCCCCTTCTCCCCATCATATGACCTGGCCAGTTAAGAAAGCAATCTATTCTCCTGGCAGGGCAGATTCTGGCCAGAGAAGGGACCAAGTGAGGTCCCTAATACACCACTTAAAATAGCAGAGGCAGCTCCTGAGATGTGGGGAAGGAGAATTTCAGCCCCCATCCTGCCCTTGCCATTGATTTACAAGGTAAGCCTCAATGTCCTTACTGGCACAATGGAGTGGGGGAGTTTTCCAACCAGAAGCCTGGATAAACAGCCACCTATGATACCATGGCGGTCACCTTGCCGCTTGTCTGGCTGCACAAAGCAGCTACTAGAGGTGTTAAGTCACAGTCAGGAACTCAGACCGTGGTGTCGGGAGGTGGGATCCAAATCTAGCTCTCCTTACTCTGTGGAGGTGTGGTTTGGGGCAAGTTACTTGACCTCAGTCTCAGTTTTCTGACCTGTAAAATGTGGGTTATGATACCTGATTCTTCAAGTTGTGAAAATCAAATGAAGTGACAGGCAAACCACTCAGCCCAGTGCCTGGCACATACTAATTGCTTGATAAGTGTCGGCTGCTGCTACTTTGCAAGACAGGACTATGTATTTAAAAGGTGTCTTGTGCCTTTAGGGCCAGCTTAGCACATAGCTGCCTTAGGAGTGATAAACACTCCAACCTCAGGCTGACTTATCCAGGGTGAAATAGCCCAAGAAAACGATCATATAACCAGGCCCTGGGTCCCCTAAATATTTATTGCTTCTTTTTCAGACTACACATAAATATTATGTGTTCCCTATAAAAACTGGAGCACACACACACAACAAAACATATGGAAGGAAATAAAAACCACACGCTCAAGGAAGCCTGGGTTTGAATCCCAGTGCTGCCATATAGTATCATGTGACCTCGGCAGGTTTCTTAATTGTTCTGATCTTCAGTTTTCCCATGTGTAACATGGGGATAATATTGCTCATCTCACAAGGTAGTCATGAGGATTAAATGAAGTAATAAGAGTGAAGTGCTTGGCACTGTGTCTGGAATAAGTGAGAGTTACTATATTAATCCACTCAGACAGAATCACTGTTCTCACTTTTTGCATTTCCTTTCAGTTTTTTTCTGCACATATGATGTGTGTATAAGATTAACATTTGTATTCAGTAATTTGAGACCATAGCGCCTATTCCTTTTATATTACAATGGTACATCTCATGAGGTGCGAACACCTGGGGAAGGCGTCTGATTTTGAACCTAGGAATGTTTGACTCCAGCACTTTCTGAACCATTGCGTTTCAGTGAAGACACTCTGGGCTCCTCTACTCCTGCTGGTGTTTCTCAATGTTTTTTCCATCATTGTAATCCCCTCACCCTGCCAGAAGACTCTTTAGACTTTTTCCCCAATTCCCCCCATACATTTATTTTAAAATGTTGTATTTTAAAATAATTATAGATTCACAGGAAGTCGCAAAGATAGTACAAAAAGCGCCTCTGTGCCCTTCACCCAGTTTCACCCAATGGTTGCAGTTTCCCTACCCAGGGATCCGCCAGAGGCTCCACAAAGATCCCCTCGGGCTGCCCTTGATGATAGTCACACCCACTCCTCTCCCTTCCGTCATCTCTAAGTCCTGCCAACCACCAATCTGTTTTCCGCTGTATAATTTCGTCATTTTGAGAATGTTATGTAAACAAAAATCTACCATACTGACCTTTGGAGATGAGCCTTTTCTCCCCTTTTCTCACTCACCATAGTGCCCCGGTGATCTACTCAGTTTTTGCACGTATCAACAGTTTATTCTTCTCATAGCTGAGTAATATTCTATGGAAGGGCTGTATCACAGTTGCTTGAACTATTAACACCTAGGTTGTTTCTAGTTCCGGGCTATTAACATAAAGATACTATGAACAGATGTAAAGATGTTTGTGTGGATATAAGTTTTTATTAGTCTGAAATAAGTGGCTTGGGATATGATAGCTGGGTCATAGAGTAGCAGTTGTTTGCTTAGGTTTGTTTTGTTTTCTTAAAATAAACTGCCAAAAGATTTTCCAGAGTAACTGTACCATTTTACATTTTCACTAGGGATGTAGGAGAGATCCAGTTTCTCTGATTTCTAGAAGCTACCTGGATCCTTGCCAGCATTTGGTATTGTCGCTATTTTTAATTTTTGTTCTAATAGGTATGTAGTGATAGTTTCATTAATGCCACTGATATACTGTATATCTGTTTATGTGCTATATGCTTGTTGATGCTTTTTTACTTTTTGAGACAGAGTCTCACTCACTCCAGCCTAGGCTGGAGTACAGTGGTGCAATCACAGCTCACTGCAGCCTCTACCTCCCTGGGCTCAGGTGATCCTCCCACCTCAGTCTCCCAGGTAGCTGGAACTACAGGTATGCGCCACCATGCCTGGTTATTATTATTATTTTTTGTACTTTTGGTAGAGATGAGGTTTCGCCATGTTGCCTAGGCTGGTCTCGAACTCCTGAGCTCAAGAGATCCACCTGCCTCAGCCTCCCAAAGTGTTAGGATTATTAATTGTTCTGATCTTCAGTTTTAGGATTATAGGCATGAGCCACTGCACCTGGCCCCTGATGCTTTTACATATTAAAAAAAAAAAAAGATAGGATTTTGTCATCCCCCTTCTCCTGCCAAGAACCCAGTCTCTCCTCTTTGGGGTGACTTCACTCCCATTGAGAATGCATGGTTTCCCAAGCCTTCTGTTCAAGACTGAACCAGCTCCCAAGAGGCTAGGGAAACAGCTGGCTTGGACACATTTGGTGCAGCCCAGCATTTGAACAAGGCTACAGCCTTGAACAAATGGAGGATTAAACACTCTGACCCCAAGGTGAACTAATTCCACAGAGACACTGGGGTGGGGACTCCTGCAAGTGAGATGCATGAAAATCTAACCAGCGTTTCCCACTCGCCTCCTCTTGAGCTCAGGCTCATCTCAGAGCAGGGTTTGTCCCCAGTAGCTGGTGTCCACCATGGCTGTCACAGTAGAGCGGTGCCCAAGGATGCTCGGGCTGTGAGTCCCTGAATCAGTCAGCATCCCGCTGTCCTGACAACAGCTCACCATCCCCCACCGGACCCCTACTCACCCAGGCCAAAGTGTGCCACAGGCTCCATCTCGCACAGGTAGCCTGAGCCACCGTCGATGATCCTCAGGTGGGCCCCGCTCTTCTTGGTGTAGAGCACGACCTTAGCCCCCCTGGCAAAGGCCCCAAACCGGGTGCGTGGCACCACTCGCAGCCAGTTGTTGTTGAAGCCCTGCAGGGAGAGTGAGAGGTAGACACCAGGTGGGTGTCAGCGTGGTGGGTGGGAAAAGCAGGGAGCCAGGGAGGATGGGAGGGGGAGAGGGAGAAGAAGGAGGAAGAGAAGAAAGTGGGCAGAGGAAAATGAGAGGAAGAGGAAGCCAGGCGAGAAAAACAAATGAGGCAAAGACAGATTGGCTAAATGAAAGAGAGGCACTGTAGATAGAGGAGACAAAAGCCGAGGGACTCAGGGCACAGTGTTTGGCAGAGAAACGACAGTGGAAGGCAGAGAGGCAAGGGCTTCTCCCAAGGCAGCCCTTCCTGAGCTTCCTGGTGCTGCTGGAATTTACCTCCCTCCTCCAGGGCCCAGGGCTTCCATTACCCGCCATGCTGGCCAAGCCAGCACCCCAGTGCCTTGCCCTCACCAACCTAAGGTACTCAAGAGCACACAGGGCTGGGATCTGTGGCTCCTGAGGTCTGAGCGCACCTGATTGCCCCGGAAGACGGACAGCGGCTGAGCCATGGACTCTCCATGGGACAAGATGAGGTCCAGCATCCCGTCTCCGTCGAAGTCGGTCACCACACCCCCTACAAACAATGCAGATTTCACCTCTGGCCGCCATCCAGGAGACCCACAGAGGAGAGATGTTCCCAACCAAGTGCAGTATCCACAGCCCTGGGTGCGGGGTCAGAGAAAGCGCAGCACCGGGGCAGGAAGGCTGGGGCTCGGCACCCATCTCCTATCCTTCCTAACAGCCGACTCATGATAGGACTCATGGGACAGACATTTCCTTCCTTCCCCTGGTCTTTGCATGGAGACAGTGCATGCAAATTACTCAGACCACATGGGCTTCTTTCTGGTCTTTCTATTATGGTTTGAATAATACATGCCTGTTATATTTGCATAGATTTTTCTGTCAATTTATCAAGTGTTTGCATATACACAGGCTCCTTTTGGTTGTCATTACAAACCAAAGAGGTGAAGAGGACAGATATAATTATCCCCATTTTATGAATGTGGAGAACACCCAAAAGGTAAAACCACTTTTCCAAGACCACAAAGTGAGGCAATGTCAGAGCTGGGTTCTGGGACTCCTGGCCCAGGGCTCTGCCTGACAAGCTGAGTGCAAAGAGGGGAGGGGTCAGATGGCAAGATCCTCTGCCTGAGAGCAGAAGGGGCTCACTCCTCTCCTTTTCGTCCCCACCTTACAAGGTATGGCCAGAGAAGCTCCTGCCCACAGACCCATAGACTCTCATTCCCCCGCCCCCATCAGCCTGGGATTGGGGGAGTGGACCATCCTCCCCTCTGTTTCCTGCCTACCCGTCCCCAGGGTTCCCCCATCTCCACTCTCTCCCTTGCTCTTGAGTCTCAGCCCTCAGTGTGGCAGGGACAGGAGGGACTCTGCCGTGGGACTGGCTGCCCCATCCCTCCCGCCCTCGTCCCAGGGTATGAACAATGCTAAGGGGGCGGTGCAGGCCAGATACCCCAGGTGCCCCTCACCTGTGCCCCTGCCCTCAGGCTCCAAGGCGTCCCCAGGATTGAGTTCCTCGATGAGGGGGTCTCCGTGCTCCCTACGGATGACGCTGCAGGAGAGGAGACAGGCTTGCTCTGGTGGGGTCTCAGAAGCCCCTGGACCTGAAGACCCACCTGCTCCGCTCTGTCCCCTGAACATCCCCAGGTCCCAATGTGCATGGGCTGCCACCTGGCTGCCCACGGAGTCACTCTCTGCTCCAGACCCTGCCTACACTCTGCCTGTTCCTTGCCTGGGTTTTAATTTATGTTGGTAAATATTGATTTTTCCTTCTCTAATGGATGAATTATAGGCAGACTAGGGAAGGGCAGTTGATGGATGAAGAAGGGGCAGGGACAGAACTTCCTTCAACCGACCTTCCTTGTCCTTCAAGTGGCCCCTGGGTTTCCTAGTTCTGGATGCTACCCAGGGTTTAACCCCACTCAGTGCCACCTCCTCCACGCCCTCCTGGACCATCCTGCTGGAAGCAATCCCTTCATTCTTCATGGGCTTTATCACTTTCTGCCTGTGTTACAGCTCTCTATGAATGCATCTGATCTCCCCTGGGAGAATGTGAGCTCTTTGCAGGCTGGGACCTTGCATTATTCATCTTTGCATCTCTTGCAGCATCTAACACAGTGCTCGGCTCTCAGAAAGTTCCAAGCACGTGTCTGCAGGATATAAAGATGAATTCCAGAGGCAAAGAGAGGAAAGGGGTCCCTTTGGGTTGCAGTGGTTCTGTCTGTTTGGAACTCTGAATTTTGGCATTGTTTCAGAAACGTCTGCTAGAGACGTCCTGCTCTTTCTCTACACTTAGCTGATGATGGCCATGAGCTTTCCTCTAGAATTGTTCTCACTTGGCGTATTCTCACAGCCTTGGGTGCTCTGCCCTAGATGTGTGGGGCAATGATGGGAGGGTAGGGCGTAAGGAAGAATTGGCATCGCACTTCCTACCACATTGTTGCCTGTGAGAAACACCAGAGGGCTGTGATACAGTCATAGCTTCAGGAGGGGGTTGGGGTCCCCTGAGCTGGAGCCTTTGGTGGCTGGGTGGCAGAGAGAGCTGGCAGATGCCCCATGAGGTGGGCTTGTGTGTTGGTGTGCATGGGTGTGATGCCCACAGTCTCTTTGACCATTTGTGTCCTGCAGCGTCTGCCACAGCTGTGCAGAGACACTTCTTGGTTCAGGTGACAATGCAGTTAAGGAGTCCTAAGGATAACACCCAGCAATTCCACTGCATTTCTGTGTTCTTTGAACACATTCTTAGGCAGCAACTATTGTGTACGGGGCCCTGCATGAAGTATGGTGCACAGGAGAAAGGATGGAGCTCAGAGTCCGTGTTAACAGGAACCACCATTCAGAGGGCTGAAGGCCCAGGGAGAGTGGGACGTGGGGAGTGCAGAGCTGGGAAAGCTCACCCAGATTCAGGCAATTAGGGAAGGTTCCCTAGAGGAGGGGTCAGCTAAGCTGAGACCACCATGGCGAGTGAACACATGTCGCTCAAATGAAGAGGGAGAATTGGGGGCTAGAGGGAGTTGGCAGCCTGAGGGTGAGGCTTGGCACAGCCCAGAGCTGAAGGAAGCTTGCTGTGCCTGCTGCTTAGATGTAAACAGGGAAGTAGAAAGTGACGAGGCTGGAGACGGAGCCGGGCTATGTGGGTTGTGTCAAAGAGTTTGGACTTCATCCAAAGGCAATGGGGAGCTTCTAGAGGATCTTCGGTGGGAAAGGGGTGTGGCCAGACTTGCATTTTCTCTGCAGGACCAGAAACAAGGAGAGCAGCTGGGGGAGGTGCAGGAATCTCCATGGGAGACCAGGAGTGGTGTCATGGTGGTGGAGAATTAAGAGCAGATCGGAGACATGGCTACATGCAAAAGGGGGTAACCTTGCACACAGCGGTTGTCCTAGGAGTGTCCCTGTTCATGCATTTTTGCCTCTGTGATTCTTTTTCTTTTTTCCTTCTTCTTTTTTTTTTTGTGCTGTGATTATTAAGAGGGCTCCCTTAAACTCTCATTAAGTGACTGTTTGGGTGATGAGTTCCCTGGATGCTGCAGGTATCATTAAAGGACGTGCAGACTCAAGCACACTGAGGCTTTGTGTCCCCACAGAGTGCCTGGCCTGTTCCTGGAGAGCACCAGGGCCAACGAGCCGACGATGCCTGTTCAGTGACAGGTGAAAAGCCCCTGTGGTGTGGGACAGTTGGGGGTTAAACTTCCAGAGCTGCCAGCTGAGTGCCAGTCCCAGCTGCAGCCCCTCTTGCTCTCCTCTCTGCTGTGTGCTCAGGACCCAGCCATCTGCCACGGGGACTTGGGGCACAGCCACGTACCTGGGAAGTGGCTTCTGCTGCTGCTGCGTGGAAGCAAACACACTAACCCATTGGGCAGCCACGTGGTGACTTGCTCTGTCCACTGACAGCTCTGGGCCAGCCTGCTTGTACTCCCTCCCAGCCCTGTCTCCCGGCTGCAGGGGACGCTGGGAGATGTGAAGCAGGCTGGATGGGCAGGAAGACAGGGGAGGTACCTAGGTTCTAGAGCCACAGACAGGGGCACTAGATTCCTCAGTGCCCAGTCCTCATCCTCCTGGAGAGTGACACTTTATTAGCCAGAGAAGGAAAGCAGTGTCTCTGTTAACTAGCAATTGATCTTCTGCAATTAATCTGGAAGTTGTGAATAAGCTTTTTGCAAGGCACCTAATTAGTAAATCTAGCGCCTTTGGGGGGTGATTACATCCAGTCAGAATTGATGCTTTGTTAATAATTATATTTTAAAACACACGTAGTCACACTCTTGCCTTTTAGTATAAATAGTTGGACCCTCCCGGGAGATGGGGTAGGGGTCTTGGGGGGCCAAGCAGATGATCTGGCCCATGTCCTGGATGCAAGGCCCTGGCCCACCCGCCTTTTCCCACCTGGTCCTGAGACCTCTTGGAATGTTTCAGGCCAGGAACAGGGACATCTCAGGCCACATGCCTGCCCAGGACTCCACCTATCCAGGACTCATGGGGAGACCCTGAGCTCAGTTCCCCAACAGTGGTTCTCAAACTTCAATGTGATGAGAATCACCTGGTGCCTACTGTACTTGTTAAAATACAGATTCCTGGGCCTCACCCCCTGAGATTCTAAATCAGGAGATGTGGGGCAGGTCCCGGGATTCTGTACTTTAAGCCCTCTGGGTGATTCTGATGCCAATGGTCTCTGGATGTTCCCTTGGAGAAATAGTGCCACAGCAAATCCAGCCCTTCCTCCCTAGACACACTGCTCAGAGGCCTGCACATTCCCTCCATTTCTGAGACCCTTTTCCTTGTCTACCAGGAACCCTTGTCATCCAGAATTTCCCAAAGGATGGTTTGCAGAACACCAATCTCAACAGAAAAATCTGTGAAAGAAGTGCCCTGTGATCAGGCCTATTTGGAATACTCCATCCATCTTTTGGAAAATTAAAATATTCATGGTCAAGTTAAAGGCACTGAGAAGTCCTGCAGTAAATAAACCTGTATTTACTTGGGCCCTGTAGCCCCTTTTTGTGGTAGTGATTGGATCCCGTAGCCCCTTTTCGTGGTAGTGTGGCTTTATCTTGTGGCGCTTGGGTTTTGGGCACACTTTGGGCCACATTCCTCTTCCCTTTCCCTGCAATAGCAGAGGCGAGCTCCTTGACCAGGCTTCGCCCTGCATTCCCACAGCCTCTTGCCCAGTCCTCGTCCTTCCCTCCTTTCTGTTTCTTCATCAGGGGACCTGCATTGACCTTGGCCTGACCACCTGGCCCTAGGAACCCTCCCCTTCTGATTCTTAAACCTTCTCCCTGACCGCTCCTCCCACCAGCTGTCAAGGGTGAAGGGCCACGAGCCAGGATGGAGCATCTACCGGAAGAGGCGGTTGGCTGAGGAGCTGCGGTAGGCGATGTTGTTGAAGAAGATCTCCAGCTCCTGGTCATTGTCAAAGTCAGCGGTGATGACTGTGCGGACAGGGGAGGGCATGGAGAACTTGGGCGAGGCGATGTCCTGGAGGAAACAAGGCTGGGGGTCAGCGGCAGGAGAGTGGGCTCGGGCAGGAGGCCAGCTCTCCTCTATGGAGTGTGGGGGCAATTAAAAATAAGAGGCAGCCCAACCCAACAGCTCCTCTCCTGCCTCCTCAAAAGGACCTGGGGGCTGCCTTTAGGATCACACAGACTTCAGGCTGCTTGTACCAGAAGAAGGAGGGAAGAATAACAGTTGTGATAGACACCAGTGAAGCGCTTAGCCGTTCCCTAGTCTGGATCACACCTGTCCATGCCTCCTGTCCATCCCTCGAGGCAGTACGGACATTAGCGTTCCCATTTGATGGGTGAGGTAATTGAGTCCTGGAGAAGGAGGGGAACTGCGATGTCACAGTTACTGAGTGGGGAGGCCAGGGCTTCTGATTCCGGATGCTGTGCCCTTTCTCCTAGGCATCCTTCCTCCTCCGCGCTGAGTCAGAAGCTGGGTGGGCCTGAAAATCTCTGTGCATCTAAATCCAGGCTCCACCACTGACTAGCTGTGTGATCTTAGGCAAGTTACTAACCCCCCTCGGATCTCACCTTCCCCATCAGTAACGTGGGAATAATAATAGCTGCCTCGGTTGTGAGGATTGCATGTAAAATGCCTGGCACCGAGTGGGCATGAGACAGATCGCCGGCAGCCTGTCCTGCCTTACCTGCCACCCACCTCAGGGAAGGTGAAAGAGGTTACCTGTAGCTGTGGATTTGGCTGCTTCTACTACCTTATGTTGTTTCTTGGGAGCCTTCTTATTTTTATTTTTTGAGACATTTGCTTTGAGGGGGTTGTGGTATCAGCTACATCTGTCCAGTGGTATCAGCTACACCTGTCCAGGACTAATGGGGAGACCCCAGGCCCGGGATAGCCCAGCTGGAACTCCAAAGTGCTAGGAGGGTCTTGGGGGACCAGGCTAAGGGTCCCAGGTGTGTTTTTGCCTCTGAAACAGAAGGAGAGCTGGGAAGGGCAACCTTCTATTTCTGAGTGTAATATCCTCATCGTAGGTGGGTTTTTCCCTTAAAGACTTTGGGGTCTGTCCAAGTCCCAAAACCCACATGGAAAGGGCTGAGAAATGTACAAGTGGTGTCTCTGGGAGTCTCCTCTACCCCAGGCTTGGGTCTGCTATCGGCCTCCTGCTGCAGGCCCTTTTTGGCGGCCACAGGGATGAGCAGGCTGGGTCAGCAGTCGAGCTGTCTGCTCTGGGGAGGCCAGGGAAGGAGGCTGTCTCCATCAGAGCAGTAATGAGGTTGAATAAGCCTGGCCAGCTGGTCAGGGTGGGTTGAGCTGGGCCTGAGGAGCCAGGGAGCAAAAAGATCTCAGGATCTCTAGCCATTATGATTCTATTGATTCTATAAAAATGGAAACCTCCCATAGCCCCCTTGGGGTTGCCCTATTCGATGCCTGAGCTTCCGAGATAATATATGTTAAGCTTAGCACAGTTCCTGACACATGGAAGACACTTGATAAATGGGGCATTTATTTATCATATTTTATTTAATTATTATTATTGCTCCTGAGAGCTCTGGGGAGGGGCCATCGGCCGAGTTAACAGGGTTCCTCGCCCTCAGCGCACTGGCGTTTGGGGCTGGATAACTATTTGCTGTGGGGCTGCTCTATGCACTGCAGGGTGTTCAGCCCTATCCCTGGGCTCTGCATACTAGATGCCAGGAGCACTCCCTTCCCCAGCTGTGACAAACCCAAATGTCCCGAGACATTGTTGAATGTCCTGGAGGGAGGGCAGCAAGATCATCCCTGTTGAGAAGCTGGGTGAGAACAAGAGCGGAATAAAGATGGAAATCGTCCAAGATCCCAGCAACAGCCGCCCTGGGTTCAGGGCATGCCTCCCCCCAACTCACAGAGCCTGGGTCTCAAGCCTTAGCAGGGAGGGAGTGGCTGGGCCTGGGCCTCCCAAGGTGGCTGCCTACAGGGAAGGGACTTGGTAGGGGTGGCCTCTTCTTGGTCACACAGAAATGAGGTCCCTGGGGACTTCCCTGGGATCATCAAACCTCAGGGAAATCCTGGAACTTTCCCGTTTCCTCAGGGGTTTCTGGCAGACCTAGGTACCTGCAGAGCAGTCCTGGCTCCCTGAGATCAGTCCTGGCTCCCTGAGATCAGCTTCAACCAGCCCACGCTCTCTGTTGTCCTCCCTGAGAAAGTCCCAAAGCCATGCCCCTCATGCTGGTGGCACCTCCATCACTGTCACTAACAGCCTTTTTGAAGAATTCTTGGCATTGTTCTATCAACAGCTCAGGGAGGGGCACAGAGGGGCTCGGAGGCCACCTTGCCTGCCATCTGCTGTTTGTCTTTAGGGGCAGCTGTTGGGAACTCCGTGGCTTCAATCTTCCATTCTCTCCACCACTTTGCCCTTGGTCTGAACGTCAGTCTGAAAAGGTCTGAAAAGCTGAGGCTGGGCTTTTGTGAAGTGTGCAGGGGATGCCATCCTGTATTCCCTGCACACTCCACAAACACTCACCCTGCTCTAGCTTCTGGATCCATTCCAGGAGCCACCGGGAAAAGTGGCCTGGATCCAGATAGTGCAGCCCACCTCCCAGGGCTCCAGCCCCCCTCGGAGGCTGCTCTCCTGCTTCCCTCTGCTGACCTGGCTCTTCCTACTCTTGGCTCCAGAGCTCCTACAGCAGCCCAGCTGTAGTCCCTCATCCCCTGGTGTAACCTTCCTTGTCACACCACCCCTACCCTGGGCCCTGAGAGCCCTGAGCCCTGCTCATGCCAGCCTGCAGCCTGGTGACTGAGTGCAGTAGCAGGATCTCAGTTCACTGCAACCTCCACCTCCTGGGCTCAAGATTCTTGTGCCTCAGCTATTGGAGTAGCTGGGATTATAGGCATGCACCACCACATCTGGCTAATTTTTTGTGTTTTTAGTAGAGACAGGCTTTGGCCATGTTGGCTAGGCTGGTCTTGAACTCCAGGAGTGAGGCCCCTTCTTACCCGAAAGCGGACCTTCCCATGGGCACTCATCTGCAGATAGAGGCGGTGGGGGCCATTCCAGTTGCCATAGACGATGTCCACTTTGCCATCACGGTTGAAGTCAGCCAGAGCGACACCTCGCCCGTGCTGGTGGGGGTCGTCCACACCTGGGGAGGAGAGGCAGGAACTCTCAGGGCGGCATCCCCTGTACACTCCGCAAACGCCCTGCTCTAGCTCTGTGACAAGCAACTAGGGAGGGTGACTCTCACCTTATTCCCGGGAGAAGATACGGGAGACACAGCTGCAGTCTCAGAAGCTCTCTAGCTCTCTATAGGGGCAGGAGGTGGGACAGTCATGTGGTTCAAAAGAAGACCTGAGACTTGTGTTCAAGCTGTGTTTGCCCAGCATGCATATTATTTTTACCCTGTTTGGGGGCGGCATGAGTTGGGGGAGGGAGACTGGGGGAAATTCTGGAGGAACAAAGGCTCTTCCCAGCTTCCCCTAACACTGCCACTGGAAGACATTAAGCTGATCATGCCACTCTTTTGCTTAAGCTGATCACGCCCTCCAATCCTCTTGGGCAAAGTTCTAATTCTTCTAATTCCTGCCTGGGGAGCACAGGGCTCTGCCTGACCATGGTCCTGTCCACCTTATCTGGTCTTGATCTGGTCCCACTCTCCCCATCTTTCCAGCTCCTGGGCCTTTTCTCAAGCTGGTCACTCTACCTGGGATGCTCTCCCTCTAGCTCTAGGTTACCCAGCTCCTGATTATTCTGCTCTCAGCCACAATGTCACCTCCTGCAGGAAGTCCTCCCTGACCACCCATCTGAGACAGCTCATCTTGCCCACCCTGTCAGTCTCCCTGACAGCCTTCTAGTCTTCTCCTCCAACATGCTGATCACAATGTGCAGTTATGTTCCTTTGTGGCTGACTTGTTAGGGTCTGGTTTTCCCACTAGCCCTGACATTCCATAAGGTCAGGACTCTCTTCTCAGTTCACTTGGGTACACGCCACGTCTATCTCAGGGCCTGTGGTTGCCTGGTAGTTTTCAGTAAATACTTGCTGAATGAGTGCACAGACATAAATAACATGACAGAAGGCAAACCCGGGACGTGGGTGACAGCAGAGGAAATACTACAGCCACGACAGAGAAGCCCACAGCATGCCTGGCGAGATCTGGCAAGTGAAGCCTCTGTGCCCAATGCCACCTGCTTATACCATCCACTGAGTGGGTCCTGGGGGAGGACAGAGGGTGGCTTTGCCCAGAGCGATGGCCTGACCTCCTAGCGGCCCACTGGCCAGCGCATAGCTGAGAGACAAAGGCGACTCTAAGCACCCACCCACGTTGACTCTCAGAGGACAAATAGCTGTGGGTCGTCAGGCTCTCTGGGATGGCAGGCCACAGGACAATGTAATAGGCTGTGGGGATCAGAGACCCCAGGACACAGGGAGCTCTTGCCAGAAGGCAGGGTGGGGCCCCCTGAGAACCCTGGAGGCTGAGTGTCCTCCTGGGGGAGGGAAGGAGTTGGGGGGAGGAGTGGGGAGAAGAGGCAGTGAGACCCGGGCTTGAGAAAGAGGGTTTGCAGAGACTAGGGGCAGCCTCCAATCTCTAGGATTAACACTCCATTAATTCTCTGCCAAACTCCCTGGCCCAAATATCGGTGGCCTTCTGCATTGGCCCATTTCTCTCCTACCTATGAGGCACCATGACAAGGAGCTGGTTCCCTTTCACGGGAATAATCGGTGCCAGGCTGCATTTCACAGCAGCATCTGTTTGGGTGATGAATGCCCTCTTGACATGTCTTGTTAAACCCCTGCAATCATTCTGACTTTCAATTACGGGCCTAGCACCTTTCCTCTCTCCTCCCGCCTGATACCTTCTCCCAGTCTAACTTGTTCGCTCACCTCTGCTTCCATCTCTTTAACACCTTATCAAATCCTCTAGATTTTCTCCACTATCCCCTCCCCTTTGCTTTATGATTTTTCAGCAATGAGAAAATTTGCTGCCAAAGGATAGCACTAGGAGGGGTGAGCCAGGTGGGAGGACAGGCCAGGGGAGCTCAACTTCAGCCTTGCCAGAGAAGGACAAGACGTAAGGCAAGATTGGGGGCTGAATGGCAAAAAGCTGGGGGTGGGTGTGTGTTCTGGGCCAGTAGGTCCCCACAATGGAGCTCCTGGGCAGAAAGCTGGGGTGGTAGGTACTCGTAAGTCCAAGAATCCAAGAGAACGGACTGGCACACATGCAGGGATGTGATGTGAACTGCCGGCAAGAGCCAGAGCTTGCAGGACTCTTGATCTACGCATCTAGATCCCACTCACGACTCCTGTAGGCCGGAACTCTTCCCCATGCCTCCAAGAAGGAGGTGAAATCAAACCTCCCATTCATTGGCAAGGTGGGGGGAAATGGTCAGGGGCACGTGGGATGTAATCATACGTCCGAAAACTTGCAGGGTGTCCACTTTGCCATTCAGCAGAATTTACCGGGTGGGCACTAGATGCCAAGCCTTGTGTCAAGAATGAATAGAACCGTGACCCGGTCCTTGTAAAGCTCATAGACAGACCATGATGGCAATGTGGAGCCTGAGTGAGGTGTGCATGCCAGGGGCAGCAGGAGGAGGAAGGGCCAGTCTCTGCTAGGTGGCACAGGGGAGTCAGGAAAATCTCTGCAGAGGTGATATTTGAGGTGAACGATGAAGGCTAAACAGACATTCTGCAGGTAGAGAAGGGGGAGGGCAGTCCAGGCAGAGGCCATGGCAGGTGCAAAGGCCCTGAGGTGGGTGGGGGATGAGTGCAGAGGAAGGAAGAGAAGCAGAGCTGGGGGCCTGGGGCACTATTTTGTGTGACTTTTATCCTGCTTCTTATTAGACGAAGATATTTTTGTCTATTTCTGTTTCTAGAATGTCAATGCCTTTTCTGTGTGTGGGGTGGTCTTAGCCTGATTCAAGTGGGTATCCCTGGTTCCCAGCGCCAACCTGATGCTTAGCAGGGGCTCCATGAATGCTCACTGTATTGAACTGAATGTTGAAGATAAATGTGGGAGGGGGGCAAGGTGGGGAGAGGCAGCTTGGAGGATAGGTTGATGCTGAGAGACACAAGCGGGACTTGGAGGGTCGTGGGCAATCTCAGATATTGGGCAGGACAATGGGCAGAAGTTTCAGACCCCTTTCCCCAGCAGCAAACACTCCCTGTGGCTGGAGCCATGGGAGCTAGAGAATAGGAAGTGACAAGCAGCGTTTCTCTTGTGTGGTGCAGACGATGACTTGTCCTGCTCTCCCTGCAGCCAGAAGAGAACATGCTGGAGGGGGCAGGGAAGTCTGGAGTCCTCTGTGGTTCTGGGGTGAGGGGTCAGGGCACACAGGGCATGGCTGCCTCCACTTACCCGCACTGGCCGCAGCGTCCACAAAGGTGCCATCGCCCCGGTTGTGGAAAAGGAAGTTAGGCCCATTCTCGTTGTCGCAGAAGATATCTGAGGCACTGCTGCTGAGGATGGGGCCCACGCTGACGCCTCGGCCCCCTAGGAAAAGACATTAACCCACAGTGAGCGGCAGAAGCAAAGCCCCAGGCCCACCTGGAGGACAAGGCTGCCTCTGAGGCCTAGGGGGAACTGCACCGGAGGCTCCTCAGAGGATCCCGGAGGGAATTCTCCTTCCCGTGCTTTCCTGAGCCTAAATCTGGGCTCACGGTCTCCATGAACCTGCGTGGAAGGTGACAACACTGATGAAGAGGGAAGGAAGGAGCTCGACAGGACATGGGGACCCCACACAGAGGTCAGCGCCTGCCTTCCCCTTCTAAGAGAAGTGGCTGAACAATCATCTTAAATCCTAAACCCACAATAATCCTAAACCCAGCTCTAAGCATGCCATTTTAGTCAAGTCACAGATCCCCCGACAGCCTCCTGACTCCCGCTTTGAGTCATACGTACGCTGGTCCAGACCACTGGGTATGTCCTAGCTTTAAGAACCTGTAGGAACAGGTCCCAGCTGTAGGTACGAGGATGCTTACTTTGCCTTGTTTGACGTTAAACAATTACGTCCATTGATAGTGAAGTTGAATGGATTACTGAGCATCCATATGACAAACCATTCTGCAGTAAAAAGACTGCATAGATCCATATGGATTGACTTGGAGGAGTGCCTGTGATATATGGTTGAAAGAATCAGCAGTTCACCAAGTAATGGTATTGTGTGATCTTGCTTTTATTTTTTAAAATACGAAAATACACACTAGTTCTGGATACACATGTTTGTGCAGGCTTATTCAGTTTGGAGAAAAGCGGGAAAGGCCACACCCCAAGCTGTGAACACTGGCTACCTTCCTTGATGGGGTAGGATTTGGGGAGGGAAAGAGAAACGATAGTTGGCCTTTTTTCTTTGAATGTCTTTGTAGTGTTTGACTTGTTGCAACAAGAACTGCTTCTGTAGTTTGAAAGGAAGAAATCCAATAAAGTATATATGTTTTTTAAAAAGGAAAGAAATCAAGCCAGCTCCACATTGGGCTTTGAAGTCTCTAAGATCAAATTTGAGCTATCCATGTCAAGAAGTCTAACCTTAATACGTCCTGAACAAACCACCCCCACCCAGTGGGTTTCAAATGAAGGCTCTCTGCTTGCCAGGCCCCACCTGCAGCTCCCAGGAACACAAATCTGCCCTGAGAAAGCCTTCCCTGAGCCACGCCCCCAAACACTGGAAATACTGTTCAGAAAATGGCTTGACCAGGATCAAGACATGGATTCTAGCCCCAGCCTGGCTTCTAACAAGCTCTGTGGCCCTGCGAAATTTACGTTACCCTTGAGCCTCAGTTTCCTCATTTGTAAAATGGGGGAGAGTCCGACCTGCCTTTTCTACTTTGGGGTTTTGAGAGGACCAAATGAGGTAAGATACACCTGTCAGAATGACCATTATCAAAAAGATGAAAGATGACATGTGTTGGCAAGGGTGTAGAGAAAAGGGTACCCTTGTATACTGTTGGTGGGAATGTAAATGAGTACAGACATTATAAAAAACAGTATAAGACTCCTTAAAAATTAAAAATAGAACTACCATATGATCCAGCAATCCCACTACTGGGTATATATATCCTAAGGAAATGAAATCAGTGTGTTGAAGAGATATCTGCACTCCGAGGTTCACTGCAGCATTATTCACAATAGCCAAGATACGGAATGAAGATATGAAGTGTCCATCAATGGATGAATGAAAAAGAAAACGTGATATATATACGTAATAGTATTACTCAGCTTTAAAGGAGAAAATCCTGTCATTTGTGACAACGTGGATGAACCTGGAGGACATTATGCTAAGCGAAATAAGCCAGGCACAGAGAAGAAAATACCACATGATCTCACTTATACGTGGAATCTAAAAAAGTTGAACTCATAGAAGCAGAGAGTAGAATAGTGTTTACTAGGGGCTAGGGGTAGGGGTGTTGGGGAAATGTTGGTCAAAGGATACAACATTTCAGCTTAACGGGAGGAATAAGTTCAAGGGATCCATTGTACAACATGGTGACTTTAGTTAATAAGAATGCACTATATACTTGAACTTGCTAAGAGAGTAGATTTTAAGGGTTGCCACCACATTAAAAAAGTATGTGAGGTAATGCATATGTTGATTAGCTCGATTTGGCCATTCCACAGTGTCTACATTATTTCAAAACCTCATGTTGTACGATGAGCTGTATGAAGGGCTCTGTGGACGCTGCAGCAGCTTGCTGCTCAGAGCCAGGTCTGAGAAGCAGTTGCAGGAGTGTCACCTGGGAGCTTGCTAGAATTGCAGAATCTCAGGCCCCCAATGGAATCAGAACCTGCATTCTAACAAGACCCCTGGGTGGTTTATGTGCGCATTAAAGTTTGAAAATACTGCTCTAAAAGGTTGTTTACTATAATAAAAAGAGTTATCAGAGCACTCCAGAAGAACTTGATTTTTAAAAAAATAAAGCTCAAGCAGACCTATGTAAAGAAAGGCCAGGCCTCCCTCACCCCCACCCGCCTCTGGATGGGGCAACGGTTTCCCCAAAGTGACCATGCTTATTTGAGACAGGGGTTCTCTTGGTCTCTAGGTGCCTCCCATCCTCTGAGAGATGCCCCCAGGGGAAATCATGGGGCCTTTTTCGCCTATGCAAATGGAGCCTGCCCATCAGAGCTGGCATTTGGGGCCAGGGAGATGGGGTGGGGCGATGGCACTGCCACTGTTATTGCGCTCATAGTTAACACATTCTGGGCTGGATGCCTCCCAGATTCCTCCCAGATAATCTCATTAGCTGCCAAAGAGAGCCCAAGCCACATGAAAATGAAGCCACTGAATTCACATTGCTCCTCTGGAATGTTCTCCAAGACACAGCATGCACTCTTCATGATGGGAGCTATGGAGTGGCATGGGTGGCTGCCAGAGGCCTGTCCTAAAGCTAGCAGGAAAGGATGTGGGTTCACAACCTGGGCACCACCTCTGTCCATTAAAAGAGGTGCCACTAAGTGGTTGCTGGCAGCTGTCCCTGCCCTGGTCTTACCAGCTTCTGTGAGAATCCCTTGGCCCTGCCCGGGCCCCTGGAAATTCCAGGTGGGACTCAGGGACTTGCCTCCACACAGCTTCATCCTTCTTCCTCCGCTTCCACATCCTCCAATTTCCTCTCTGCCTCTGGCTCCCAAGCTGTGACACATTCCCTTCATTTTCTACAAAGCAGGTTATTTCCCTTTTGGACAAATTTCTAAATCTTTCTAATTAACTAATTGGGTTGGGTTGAAGCCTTGTACCATTTGTAACCTGTAATTACTAGAAAATTGCCATGGTAACCACACTACTAATTAGCCACAATTTATTGCCATGGCAACCGGACCATAACAGAGATGTTACCCACACCTCCTTTTCGGCAAGTTGGCTGCATAGTTGGGGAGCAGGTGAGTCGACAGTCAGGAAGCTGGCCTCCTGGGCGCCAGTCCCAGCAGCTTTAACGATGGAGGCCCAACTGGGGGCTGAGGTGGGGCAGCCAGGTACCTGCACCCCTCACTGATGCCACAGGGAGATGACTCCCAGGTCGACAAGCAAATCTTCAAACCAATAGAATCCACCCATCATTATGTAGGCTGCCATGCCTACACCCTACCAGGCCAATGTCAAAGGCCAATTATTCAGTAAATGTCTTCTACCAGGACTTTCCTCTCCTCTCCTCTCTCCTTTGTCACACCCTCCCTCTCCTCCATCTCTTAAGGTTTAGCACACACCAAATTCGGTCACCCAGGGGGCTGTTAGGAACATCTTTATTTAGCTTTGGAGAATGATGTTCTAACAGGGAATTAACTCCACCTTGCATCAATTAATTCTTTTATAATTTGAGGCCAGCGCATTCTCTTGGGGCTGGAGAGGCAGCACTGGTGGTGGGAGACACTACAGGACCGGGGGTCAGAAAGTCCAAATTTGAGCTGTGTGACCTTGGGCTCATTACTGAACCTTCCTGGGCTTCTGTTTTCTCAGCTAGAACATAAGAGTGGTAATAATAATGGCTCCTTCTCGGGGTTGTCATAAATATTAAGTGAGCTGGTCTTTGGAAGGTGCCTTGGAAAATGTCAGGTGCCACATAGTCATTAGCTGGGACTATTTACCACCTGCTGGGTGAATAATATCCCTTTATTTTTCCCAGCACTTTCAAGCTTCAAAGGCCTCCTTGTTCGGCTGTTGGGGTGTGAGTGCTCCTCCCTGCCCATCCCTGCTGAAGGCTTCTGCTCACTCTGCCCGCCAGGCTGGGTAGGGGGTGGGGTTAGAGGGAAAAATGCCCCTTTGAGGTCTCCATTTCCTCCAGCCACATTCTGGCACTCTGATGATCTGTTCATTGAGCCCAACCCTGATAGGGCAGCCTTGGTTGTCCTCAAGAACCATCCTTCTACCTCTGAGCCCTGGCACGCTGGCAATGCAGACCAAAGTACAAGTCAGGTGCAGGCAATCCATCTCTCAGACTGCATCTGGGCCAGCCCTCAGGGACTGGGGAGTGAGACAGGGAAAGGTGGTGAGGAGGGGGTGTGTGCATGCCGCTGAACTTCTCCAAGCTGTGGGTCTGAGGACCCAGGGATGAGGCAGCACACGGATTCACGGTGCTAAGGTAAAGCCTCTTGGTTCCTGCCTGGCCTCTGCGCCTCCCCTCCTGCAGGATCACGGGAAGCATGCTCTCTAGTCCTCAGTTTCCTTCCTGTAAAGTGGGTGGGAATTGAGAAGATCTGTAAGACTGCTACTAGCTTACTTTGCAATGAATGAATCCTCCAGGGTGGACACAGGATAAGCGTGTTGGGGGCCGATCCCTGTGCCCATCTAGCCCTGCACCCTCTGCATCAGCGGAGACTCTGAGGTGAGCCCCCTCAGCCAGGGAACTTGGCCATCTGCTGAATAGAACCTTAACAGAAACATGTTTCTGGTGGATGCCATGATTCGCAGGCTGCCAAGAGCATCCAAGATATTGTAAATGAGTAGGGCAGAGATGCTGGAAACGTGGTGCAGGAATGGGCAGAGTGTGTGCGTGTGTGTGTGTGTGTGTGTGCACATGCTGCAGAATGGGGTGTGAGGATCAAGTACGGGATGGTAACAGGGTCTCTCATCCTAAATTTCCTGAAAAATTATAAGACAAGGTAACTATGTAGGTGCTGGTGTTGCCACTCCCAAGCCTTCTGGGAGCCTTCAGAAGCTGGGCAGGACTTGACTATTCTGTGTGGTGGGCATTAGACAAGGACACACCCACCCTCATCCTTCCTGCCCTGTGTCTGCAGAATGTTAAGGCAAGGGGTGGGGCAGCAGGACAGGCCCCATCATTTGTTTCCTCTCGACAGAGGAGGGATTTGCAGTGGCAAAGCCTGGGGGTGTAGCCCGGGGGTATAACCTGGAGTGGCTAGCCACAGGCTTGACATTTCTTTAAAATCTCCTGTGTTAGCTGAGGAAAATGCACACAAAAATTACATTTCAATTCTGTAACATATCTGTGTTTGTTTTAAAAGAAGCATAATGTTCCCCCTGATACTCATCAAATGCATCTGACACCCCTGGAAAATGGTCTCTGTGTGTCCTGGGCTTTGAGTACCCCTAGCAGGCCCATGCTGCACTCCCTGGGGGTCCCGGGCCCTGGCTTGGGAGCCTGTCACTCCAGCCCTGCCTGGTCCTTGGCTGTCAGATCCGGCTTCACTCCCGATGAAAGGCCAGCGCCCGCCTGGGAAGCTAGGAGGCCCCTTGGCCCCCACTCTGTGGCCCCTGGTTGAGCTCGCTGGTGAGGATCTGCCAGAAGGCCTCAGCTGGGCTTTAGGCATCTCCGTCTCCTTCAATAATGACTTCCTATAAATCAGGTCTGCCCTCCGCTTTGTTCCACACCGCTCCCAGCCAACAGCAAAACTCCCCACCCGACATCATAAATCCACCTTCATTTTCTTTCTGAATTTCTTTTAAGGCTTCTTTAATCACCACCTTGCAGCCTGGACAGATGCTGCCTCAAAGGGTGAGGCCAAAATGCAGAGTTCCTGGGGAGGAGGCAAGGCCTGCGGGAGGCCAGGCAGGCGGGAAGGAGAGCAGAGAGATGAACTCCAGGGGGGATGGGGATGAAGATCCCACTGGCCATGCCCAGGACTGGAGGTTTGGGGGGACACACAGAGAATGTTTCCCAGGCAGGGGCTGGGCCTGCTTCTCTTGTGCACCCCCCTGTGCCTTGCACAGTGCTCCCTGTACCCAGGAGATGCCCAGCAGAGGGCCCTGGCATCGCTCTGGCAGAGCCTCAGAGCAGGAGGTATTGGTATTTGCTATACTCCGTAGGCACCATCCGTGTGCCAAGCCATGTGCCAGCCATGTCCCATGTGCACCTCCTTTCTTTCTCACAACAGTCCCATTTTGAAGGCGAGAAAATTGAGGCTGGGAGAATAGTGTGCCCACTACTGCCTAGGCTGTAATGCACAGGGTAGGCTGAACCTGCACCTGTGGCCTGGCTCCAAACCCCGTCCCCTCACCTGCTAGCTCAATGCCCTCAGAGAAGCTGAGGGGCATGCCCAAGGTCACTGGGGCCTGGACCGTAGAGGCAGTGCAGGACCTTTGCCTCCCACCTTTCCCTCCTCTGGTTCCATCTGGTTCCATCTGGTTCCATGCCAGGGCCTTGGCCATGGCCAGAACCCAATTTCCAGGATTCCCAGGCAGGGCAGCTACCGGCACTGTCCTGGCTTCAAGAGGCCTCAAGCAGCTGGGGAAGTTGGGGACCAGGGGATGGGAGAGTGGTCTTCCTGCTGCCCCAGTCTCTTTCCCAATCTTTCGCTCGGCCACCCTCCCGGGGCCCTCGAGTCCCCCGAGAGCCGGCACACTGGCCACTAGATGGCACTGTGACCCAGCAGAGCAGCTGCAGCCACGGGAATGGATAATGTCTAGAGAGGAGGCCTCCCCTCCCCCTCCCGCAGGGCCGAGGGCCGGTGCCTGGGTAGCACCTTTGCCCGGCCCGCCCCGGGGTGGCTGGACCTCCCCCGCTGCCTGAACACTCAGCCAGGCAGCTGCTTCAGCCACAACCACCTGGGTTGGGCTGCCTCAAGTCCGGGTGCCAGCCTGAGGCTGTCTTCCCAGTGGGTGTGGGCCTCCCCTCACAGCCCCTTCCGTCTTGCAGGATGGCAGGATTCTCAAGCTGGAGGTCATCGGAAAGGTCAGCGGGCTGTGGCAGTTTAGGCATCAGGAGGAGATGGGCTCTAAGTGCCAGCTCTCTACAAACCTCCTGTGTGACCTTGGGCGAGTCCCTTCTCCCTGGATCTCGCTCTGTTCTTTGTAAAATGGGAGGTTCTCCCAGGTCGTACAGCTGTCTAGCAGGCAGGTGCTGTGTGTATTGGCTCCAGGGACCTCCCAGCTCCCTGAGTGCACATCTGGACGTGACCTGCCCCTTCCGCCTGCTTCCCTCCCAGCTTCTCTGGACCCCTGGCACTGGAGTGGTGCTCAGTGCTGGCCATGCGCCCAGAGCCTCAGCCATCAGGCCGGGCTCAGCATGGCGGCCCTTACATTTGGGGTCCATTCCTGGGGCTCGGGGGTGGGGGGAACTCTGGGCTGGTTTTCCAGCCAGATGTCCATGTGTCATTAGCTGAGTGACAAGGGGGGGCTGCAGGGTAGTGTTGGGGGGCTTGGCGGGCAGGGAAAGGGTGGGCTGGAGAAGGCGGGCCGACAGAATAGTAACATGGTGGGCCAAATAGGTTCTTGTCAGCCAAATGGCTTTTGGAAGTCTGCAGAGCTGCTCGAACGTGTCCTCTGGGCACGCCAGCTGCCCCAGCCTCCCTCCGCACCGAAGCTGCTGCTTCTTCCTTGAACCGCCTGTCCTTCTAGCCCAGCCGGCACAGTTGGCTGGTGCTTCCATCCCCACTGTGCTCCTCAGCTGCCCCCTCTGGGTCTCCTCCTTCCCCCTCCTCGGTTCTGTGCCAGCCCAGTCAGCGTGAACAATGCCCCCTTCGTGCTGAAACTCAGCCGCAACCTCCAAATTCTTTTATTCTGCATCTAGCCTGCTCTCCCAGTCTTTACCTCCCTTCCACCTTGTCATTTTCAAGTGCTTCATTCCCCCAGTGCACCCCCTTCCCTTGCAAGATCAAGGCACTTAATTGCCAAGCCAGCCCAGTGCACAGAACTGGGAACTATTCAGAAAAATTGACTGTACAAATCTAGGCTGAAGCGCCTGCATGTTTATTTCTTTTCCGGGGGAAACATGGTTTATTACTGACACAGCCTTTCCATGGTACCTTCACGCGCGGAGCTCTCAGGCACTTAGATGGGGCTTGAGCTGTGCTAACTATTTTATTGTCTAGTCATTTGTTCCCAGAAACTTTGTCAGACAGGTCAACATTAATCTCCCCCTTTCACCAGGGTGAAAGGTGGTTAGAGAAAGGCATCGTAAACTCAGGAGAGGCAGCGACAACCCTTTCTGGGCAGGACTTTGAGATGATGCCACCACCCAGGTGTCTGGAGGCAGGGGGGTGCCCCAAAGGACCCCTCAACCATCCTTCCAGCCCCAGGATTCAGACTGAGGAAGGCTGCCACTTTGGAAGCCTCTGCTGCACACTTTGGGATGGATATGTCGGGAAGGCTGACCAACAAGAGGATCTCTCTGTCCCAAGTACAGGTCAGGTGTGAGTGTGGCTTAAGTTCACATGACAAGTTGTTGTGTACAGCTCTGGCTTCCTGATTTTTGGCACCCAAAACAGGAACTGGATTGCTCTGCCATCAGCAGTCTATTGGCAGATTATCAGAGTTTAGTCAGCAGCCGTGCTGGAATTAGAAAAACAGCCTTGCCTAGAAAGATCTCCCTGTCAGAGACTGTGACAATAGGTCCCCCATCCAGAAAGATGAGGGGGGAGCGTGCCTTCAAAAAAAAGTGCTGGAGAGGTTTTGGAACAAGAACACAATTCTTTGAGCTCAGTTATCCGAGACGGGACCCAGCTGAAGCCTAGGGATTTAGCACTCAATTCCTGGTTGCTTATGTGTAAGTAAATAATTTCATCTGCGATTTGGCAATAAAGAATGCTTTAAATCTTGGCTTTTGTGATTTGTCAGTTTTCTCCTACAGAACCTGCTCACCCATCACTGAGGTTACCAGAGGGAGTGGGGCAAGATGTTCCAGGGAGAGAACGATGTTGTGATGATGTGGTTCTCACATCCATTTTCCAGCAAGCCAGATGTCCCCTCTTGGGTGCCCTGAAACTCATACCTGCCAGACATCTCACCAACGCTTGGAGAGGCAGTGTGGGAGAGAGAGGCCTTCTGTGGGTGGCAGGATGGCATAGAGCCTTTATTTCCCCTCCCCAGGGACATAAGGCCACCCTTTCCTTGTGGTCTCTGATGAATTAGACTCAGCCTTGCAGGGCCCTGGACCCCAGCCCCAGCCCCTCCAGCACACCGCCTCCCACGTCACTCTGCGTACCTGTATATTTGCTGACCCCAGCCTCAGCAGCCACATCTCTGAGAGCCAGAATGCCCTGGGAGAGGTCACTGGCCTCAGGGTCCATTTCAATGAGGGCATCAGGGCCCACATTACCGTAGGCGTAATTGGCAATGTAGATAGAGTAGCGTCCAGAGCCCTGAGGAAGAAGGGAAGGAAGCGGTGAGCAGGCCCACCTTGGCTCATCCCAGAAACCGCCCCCGCCCCACCCCAGGTAGGACCGTAGCTCTTTCACAGGGTTGGGTTCTTCTCCCCGGGTCTGTTGTGAATGGCCTTGCAGGCCGTGCATGGCGCACTTCCAGAGGGGCTTTTCACAAAGGCTGCCATGTGAATGACACTCCCGGGAGTCGTACAACAAAGCAGGCTGCTTCTCCTTCCATCCTGTTCCAGAAGAACACATCCCTCCCTCTCCCCCACAACCACCTTTTTATAGACAATTTTCTAATGTGCCTCCCTCCAGCTGAGCTCTCTCCAGCTGCCAGCCGGGGTAGCTGCTCAATAAATATTTGCTGATTGATTGATCTACCAATTCCCATTATTCTCAGTCTCTCTCTCTCCCATTCAAGCTCACTCCAGCCAAGATGACAAGCAAATTCCTGAGCCATCTCCCTCCCCCTGTTCCCACCCCGCGCTTCTTCATTCCCCTGTTTTGGTAGCCCAAGAGGCACAGATTTGCAGGGGTCCTACTTTCCTCTTCCATTCCCTTATTTCCCCCGTATTACCAGGAAGAAAGATTCTATCACTTCCGTCTTTATAACACTGTCTCAAAGATTCGCTTTTCCCTTTGCATCCAGGAGCAGCCTTGGGCACCAGCTCCTCTGAGCAAGAGTCATTCTCTTCACTAGCCCAAAACACCGCTGATGAAAGACTCTTCTCTTCTGCCTGTTGTTATAATGGTGCTATTTCTTCAATGGATGACTTCTTCCCAAGAGATCCACACACTTTCTAAATCAGTTTTCTGGCTTTTCTCTCATCCTTTTCATCACTTCCCTCCAATTAATTAGACAGTAAATATTTCTTAAGCTCCAACGATGTGCCAAGTGCTGTGTTATAAATGTACTTAAGACAAAAATCTCTGACTGTAGGTTGCTTATAGTCTAGTTTGAAAGACAAGCCATAAACCTAAAAGGACCTAAGAGAAACTGTTGAGCTCACGGCAACAAGACTGGTGGTTCCCTTTCCTTGCTTCAATTTCTCATCCATTGGCACCATGAGCACAATTCTTGTTCCACCGAACTGGTCAGCAACTTTATATCTTTGTGGGTTTTTTGGTGTGTGTGTGTTTTTTTTTGTTTGTTTGTTTGGGTCTCGCTCTGTTGCCCCAGCTGGAGTGCAGTGGTGTGATCTCGGCTCACTGCGGCCTCCACCTCCCAGGTTCAAGCGATTGTCCTGCTTCAGCCTCCCAAGTAGCTGGGATTACAGGCGTGCACCACCACTCCTGGTTAATTTTTGTATTTTTTAGTAGAGATGGGGTTTCACCATATTGGTGAGGCTGGTCTTGAACTCCTGACCTCAAGTGAACCACCCCCCTGGGCCTCCCAAAGTGCTGGAATTACAGGCGTAAACCACCGTGCTTGGCCAATCTTTGAAGGGATCATTTTCTTTGAGGAAGCTGATGAAGAGCCACACGAGTCTGTCTAACTGGTGGGTGAGGCCAAGGAGGGAGCTTAGAGTTTCCTGTTAGAGTCTCCTGGGTGACACAGATATATCAACAATGATACAAGCATATGGCAGAGAGCATGGACAGGATTTCCTGGGTGCCCAGAAGAGGAGCTCCTAACCCAGGGGAAGGGCACCTAACCATGGGAAGTTCCGAAAAGCTTTCCTTAAAGGAGTCTCAGTCAGGTGAATTGGAGGGAAAAGAACCTTCCAAGTAGAGATGAGAAAGAGAAGGATGTATGTAGAGAAACTACAGCAGTTAGTTCAATGTTGCTGGAATATAAAATGCAAGGCAGAGAGTGTCAAGGGGTGAAGCTGGAGAAGGTGGTAAATTTGTTCCCTACAGATTGCTCTGCTCCTTCTCTTTTGGTTATCTGAGTCTTTATGCTGCTACCTAGAAATCTGTGCTTTACAAATCTTGCTACTCAAAGTGGTCCCTACACCAGTGGCACTGGTGACCTCTGGGATCATGTTTGAAGTGTAGACCCTCAGCAAACCCCTCCGCCCCCTGTAAGACCTGCTGAATCAGAATCTGCATTGTAGCAAGACTGCCATGTGATTCCTGTGCAAAACTGAGTTTGAGATGCACTGCTTTACAGTACAGCCTATTTTTTTTTTTTTTTTGACAGGGTCTCCCTTTGTCACTCAGGCTCGCTGCAGCCTCGACTAGGCTCAAGCGATCCTCCCACTCCAGCCTCACAAGTAGCTGGGACTGTGGGTATGCACCACCACACCCAGCTAATTTTTTTTTTTTGTTTGTTTGTTGTAGAGACAGAGTCTCCCTATGTTGTTGAGGCTGGTCTTGAACTCCTGGTGTCTCAATCTACCCTCCTGATTTGGATGCCCAAAGTGCTGGTTAAGGGTTTGAGCCACCACACCTGGCCTAACAAGGTTTCTTGATTAGGGGAGAACTTTGAGAAGTTCTCAGCCATCCAAGGCTGTGCAGAATGACTGGATGAAGAGTGAATGAAGGGGCCAAAGAGGAAAGTGCACCATCACAAACCGTTCCCAACCCTACCAGCTGGCAGCAGTCTCATCAACAAATGAGCAATAAGTTCAGTGGACTGAAATTCACTCTGCCAGAAATTAGGATATTTACAAAATTCAGTTATGCCTAGTTCCTTACTTTGATTTATCAGGGGGATAAACTGACAAACACAGATGTGTTACGGTTGTAGAAGACTGCAGAAAATCACATGTGAACTTGACCACGGTAATTCTGGGAGGGTGAGATGATTCCAAGGGAAGGAAGATGTTTCTGCAGCTTTGGGGCCAATGCAGTGGTTCCCACACTTTAGCCTACATCAGAATCACCTGGGGGGCTCGTTAAAACACAGATTTTTTTTTTTTTAACATCTGGCCCCATCCCCTGAGTTTCTGACCAACAGGTCTGGGGTGAGCCATGAGAATCTGCATTTCTAACAAGTTCCCAGATGATGCTGACACTGCTGGTCTGAGAACCACACTTTGAGAACCCTGATCCAGGGCCATTAGCCCGGGTCCTAGTCTAGGGCCTGCCTCTAACTGCTCGTTGTCCTTGGGTAAATCCCTGGCTGCCTCCAGGCTGCATCTCCTCAGATGTTAAATGGGGATCATATTCCCCCTGCTTCCTGGCAGGGTTGTTGAGAAGATTAAATGAGACAACGTATGTGAAAAGTCTTTGAAAAGATAAAAATGCTATATAAACATGAGGCGTAATCATTATTGATCAGAGGACGTTCTTGTAAGAGATCAGTTTTGAGCTGGATCCAGAAAGGTGGGTGAGTGATGAGGTAGCTGGCGAGAAAGGACAAGCGGATGTTCTGGGTTTGGAGCAGAGAACGAGTGAGGGGTGGAAGGGGAGAGAACAGCATGTGGCGGAGTGGGGGCGGGGCTGAGGCATTTATGGAGCAAAAGGTCTCATACTTGAGCATGCATCAGAGTCACCTGAAGGGCTAGCTGAACCCCAGATTGCTGGCCCCACCCCTGGAGTTTCTGATTCAGTCTGTCTGGAGGGTGGAGTGGGGCAGGGCCTGAGAATATGCATTTCTAGCAATGCTGCTGCCGCTGGCCCAGAGGCTACACTGAGAACCACTGACCAGGTAGCTAGATTAAAAGGCCTGCCCCAGGTAGGAGCTATGGGGCTAAGGAAGGATGACTAGGGTGAGTGCTGTAATAAAGTTAGAAACTTGTGTCTGCTATCATTTCACCCAGGGGCAGGGCGGCTGAGGGTTAAAAGGCATCTTCATTTTCAGGCAGGCAAGGTTCAATTCCTGGCTTTGCCTGTTGCTTCATGTGTGATCAAGGTCAAGTTGCCTAATTTCTCAAAGCCCGAGTTTCCATATCTGTCAAATGGGATAGTGATGGCATCTACCTTGTTGGTGTCTTATGATGACTCAGTAGGACGAGGGAGGTAAAGCGTGCAGCACAAGGCATGGCATGTCCCTAGTGTAAGAGGTGTTGGCTGTTACTGTTGTCCTTGCTCTTGTGTTTTCCTGCACCGTGCTGCATTACCCTCTCTCAACTTCCAGGCTGCCCTTGGCCTCTCTCCATTCCTCCCCTGGCAGTCCTCAGGCCCCAGGGATGGCCGAGGCGGTGGCTGGACTCAGAGAGCAACCCTCCTCTGCTGGCAGATTGACTGTAGGGCTTCTTTCTAGTTCTCTGAGGCCTGGGAGACTGAAGTCAGGGGCTGAGCAGGGTGTGAGCAAGCTTCTGGACTCCTGCCTCCTGTGCTGCCATGCCAGGCCATTTTTTTTTTTTTTTTTTTTTTTTTTGCATTTCACATAGTGCCTTTGTCCTGTGGTTAAATGCGTGGGTGTGCAGATGACCTTGTTAGGACAGAGTGCATCTCTTTGTGATTAACCTGCATGCCTCTCCCTCCAGTTCTCTGAGAAGTTGCCCACGTTAGCTGAGTGTCAAAAGCCTTGGTCCTGAACGGGTGAGATGGGAAACCAGGAGGAGGCTGGGAAGAGGCCCCTAACCGTGACCAAGTCTGGCACCCCCCAGCTCCACCCCACACTCTGGGGCTGTTCACAGAGCTGCCTCCCCATCCCCTCCCTCCAGGCAGGAGTCCAGGTGGCACAGATTCAGGTCAGGCTAAATGTGGCTTCACAGCCCAGCTTGGCTTCTCTTCCCAGCACCAGCTTGTTAAGAAATAAATATTTATACCTGGCACCTGCCTTCTCCCAAGGCCTGGAGGCCCCTGCTGTAAAGATTCACACTGAATCCCCAATCCCCTCAGTGCCATCTCAATTCCAAAGTGAGCCAAGCCTCTTGCCCCCACCCCCAGAATGGGGGCCATAGACTCTCCTGTGGCAGCCGGGCAGCAGCTGGGCCCCTGATTTAGTGATGACTGTTTACAAAGCCAAGGAGGTGGGCGGCAGGGGAGCAGGTGACAGGAGGGATAAATCACCTTTGCAGCAAGCTGCTGGCTCTCGCGAGGCCTGCTGGGACCCAAGCCTGGGTGGGCGGCTGCCCCCTCCTTGGGCAGATGGCTGCAGCGGCTCATGCCCCTTCCCACTCCATCTTTCCTCCCTGTCCAGTTTGGGTGGGGCACCTCTGTGTAGGGTGCACTTACAGGGCATGAAAACGTTGGAGGAGCTATTGATGAACTAAAGTACTTGTATATTGAGGCAACCCTCCCCTCACCTACCTAGGAACCCCTCCATTGGGCCTTCATTTACTCCGTAAATATTTACGAAGGGCCCCACAGCTCAGTGCCTGGCACACAGGAGGCACTTAGTAAATGTTCGTTGAGTGAATGAATGCAGGCAGGATTTACAGCTAGAAGAGGTGGATTCATGTCCTAGCCACACCACTCAACTGCTTTGGGCTCCCATGCAAGTCACTGCTCCAAGCTAGGTAGGCTTCCATCCCCACAAGTGTCCTGAGGACACAATGATCCCTTGGCTGGCTTCCTCACTGGTTTCTGGGAGGGCTGCATGGGAGACAGGATGTGAAAGGTACAAAACAATGCATTCTGCAAGTCTTAGTTGTTGGTATTTAGCACCCAATCTATCCAAGACACCGTGGGAGCTGCCACTCTGTCAGGGGATGTCTACACAGTGGCTCCTCTCCTGGCTCTCACATGGCTTCTCCCCAGGTCCCCCATGCACCCCTGCACTCACCTTTCTGTCCACACAGGCCACAGAACGTCCGGCAAAGAGGCTGGCCACCCCACGGGCCACGTTGACCTCATCACTCAGAATGTCTTCCCACCGGTTATTGCGGAACTTGAACAACTTGTCGGTGTATGTGGCCACCCCTGGAGAGAGGAGGAAAGGGAGGGCTGGTGGACAGTGGATCAGGGTCTCGGTTCTGATCTCTGGGTATGTCTCATGGCACCTGCCACAAGGTTCTTGGGACGGGAGGAGGATGGGTTGGGACGGGAGGAGGATGGGTCATCTGCGGCAAGGAGGACCTCAAGCAGGTGAGACTCCTCTGTGTTTGAGGAGCACTCAGATGTTTCCAGTTGAGGGAAGAGACTCTGAGCCTCATGAAGATGGCTGGCCCAGACCTCAGGAACTAGGGAAGAAGTGCCACTGCTGCAGTGTGACCGAGATGACTCTCAGCAGCTGGATTTCATGCCCTGCCCCGTTCTCCTGCAACAGCATCAAGGAGCTCCTGGGACTGCAATACTGTAATATCCAAACTCAACCCAAGATGACTCTTTCTCCAGGTGCTGTCCCTACATTCTCTACTGGATCGCAGGACCTACCTGATTTGGGTCTCAGAAGAAATGGTTCTGGTTCATGAGTAGGTTGCAGTCCTCCCTGAGGAAGGGGCTGGAAGTTGAGCTCTGACAGGGTGAGAAGTGAGGGGTTGTTCTGCCTGGGGTGTGATGAGTTTGGGCAGCCCTGGGAGGCCCCTGGTCCCAGGACTGGGGAGCCCCAGAAGGCAGTGGTTTTCACCTCTTTTGGATTACTGGCCCCTTTGAGAACTGGAGGGAGGTGAAGGACCTTCAGCTCAGGGAGTCACAGGTTTGCACCACACAATATGCCATACGTCATTTCAGGTCTATGGCCCTCTGGAGCTCATTCGTGACTAAGAAGCCTTGTTCTGGGGATGTGGGAATAACTGCTGGTGGCTGAGGCCACAAGCCCATTCAAGTGACCACTTGAAAGGCAGAGCTCTCTCCTCCACCATCACCCTTAGTTAATTTCTTGTTAATGCAAGACCCCGAGTATTCATAGTTTAGGGGGGGCCTCGTTCTATCCCCTGGGCTGGAGAGGAAACACAGGGAGAGGAGCAGCTGAAGGAATCGGGGAAGGTGAGCTTGAGGAAGAGTGGGCTTGGGGACAGAACCCTGAACTTGACTGTCTGGACCAGGGAGAAGGCAGCAGGCTTAGACTGAGGAGAGACAGCATGGCGCAGGGGCACCAAGAGCTCGGGGTGATGGAAATGATCTGGAGCCCCAGCGTTGGTTCTGCTTGGATTCCACTTCTAGGCTCCAGACTTGAGGCGCGCTGCCCAGTATCTCCGAGCCTCGGTTTTCCCACTTGGGAGCGGGGATGATAGTAGTTACAGAAAGTTTACTGTGAGGAATAAGTGAGATGATGCACACTAAAGGTTTGAGATAGTCCCCCCACCAAAGTGGTAGCTATTTTTCGACAGAAATGATTTTTCTCATGTTATAGATGAACTACTTTCCAAGGTTCTTTAGAGACATCAGCCCTGCACTGCAGGGGTTCGATGAAAACCAGTGATTCTGTGAGTGGGTGTGTGTGAGGGTG